GGTTGATCTTGAATTCCTGGGCTCAAGAGATGGTCCGGCTTCAGCCTCCCAAAGCAGCAGGGAGTACACCTATGGGTCTAGGTACCAGTTCTGGGATTTGACCCTTGACCTTGTGCTCAAAGCTTAGCCTTCAGGGTGGTACAGGGGAGGAAGAGCCTCAGGAAGTAGTGCCAGGAGAGAGAGCCCTAGGTCATTGAAGGTGTGCCTTTGAAGAGCATTATGAGGTCCCAGCTCGCTCATTCCTCCTCTGCCCCCTGGATGGTGATGTGGGCAGTTTTGCCTCACCATGCCTGCTGTGATGTCCTGCCTCATCAGCGGCCTCACAAAAACGAGGACTGGGACTCCCAAAACTGTGAGTCATAACTAACCTTTTCTTTTATAAATTAATTACCTCACATATTTTGTTATTGTAACAGAAAGTTAACACAAATGATGTATCTTACTACAGGCATTTTAATGCAATAAAAATTAATTGCACCTGCACTCCCTTTGTCTTTGAATGGCCTTCCACCCACTCACAGGAGAGCTTCTCCTAACGGTGGTGTGACTTCATGGTCTCTCTCATGCTTCATATTTCTATGTCCTAAAGTGGGCACGGTGGTGCCTATAATCACAGCACTTGGGAGGCTGAGGCAGGAGAATTGTGAGTTCACAGCCAGCCTGGGCCACAGTAGACTCTGCCTTCTCTTTGCCCCCACCCAAGCACATTTCTATGTTCTTATTTCCATCATCTTTAGGTCAAGACTTAGTAGTGAAACCCACAGTTGATGTACTATATCCAGTTTCTTGAATGTCGTGACCCAAGTCACATCAAAATTAAAGTCCCAGTGTTCAAGGGTGTGGGTAGACGGACATTGCGCCCTGAGCGGGAACACCAACACCGTAAATCATCTTCCACAAAGAGTCTTCACAGGCGACATGGAAAATTAGACCCTAGAGTCACCCTGATCCTCATAGCACTGACAAGAGCTGGGATCACCCTGCCTCCCACTCACAACACCGCTGCATTCTCAGTTACACTCACTGGTCACTGAGAGACGCCAGGACATGGGTGCCAGCTACAGGCAAAGACCTGCAGTTCTGTGCACTGGAGTAGCCTTGGTATTCAGGATGTGTAGGGGGTGAGGTTGATTTCTGTCTCCAACACAAGCCCATTTGCCTCCACAAGGTCTCTGTTCAGGCCCAGGACAGAGTGAAAAGCAGAGCAGTCCGGGGATGCAGGGTCCTCATCCCTCCCCTCCTCTGGGATGTGGGGTCTCCTAAGTCCTCCCCTCCCCTTGGATGTGGGGCCCTCATCCCGTTGTTCTTGGACTCTTCTTTCATCCCCCAAACTGGCCTGGCCTGAAAATCCTCCTCACTGGTGGATTCTTCCCGTCCTCCACATGCACTCACACTTTCTCCCTCCATGGTGTTGGGGGGGTCCCCCTGATGCTGTTCCCCCACATGCATTCACACTCCCTTCCAAGGTTGTGTGTCTGACCCACATTGCTGACAGCTTTAGCTGAAGGGCTCCTTGCTGCCTGGTGGCTGTCTGTACTTTGTGGCATCCCTGGTCTCCTCCCACATGGTACCAGCAGCACCTCCTGCTCACCATCTGAGGCTCAGGCAGGACAACGGCCTCTCTTCATACTTGAGCTGCCTCTTGTAGGCTCTTTAACAAGGTGGCTGCAATGGTGCGAGCCCTCACATCTGCACACTCGCCTGTGAGAGCATGGGGAGGCTGGGCTCAAGGCCATTTGCACCTAATGGGACAATGACTCTTGCTGGTCAAATGGAGGTGAGTCCCTCCTCTTTTCCCTTTGTCTGTACCAGGTTAACACAGGGAAAGGACAGAGGGAGGGAGGAAAAAGAGAAAGAAATGGGTGGGGAGTAGGAAAGAGTAGAGAGGGAGGGGGAAGGAAGAAAAGGGAAAGGAAAAGAGGGAGGGAACAGGAGAGGAGAGAAAGAAGGGAGCAAGAGAGGGAGGGGAAGAAGGAGCAGGGAAAGGGGAGGGAGGGAGGAAGGGAGGGCAACAACTTAGAGGAAGGTGCCAGCAAGCCTTGCTGAAAAGGTAGCACTGAGTCCTACAGAAGTGAGGTGTCTGGGTGTCACAGTCTAAAGAATGGAACTTAAGCCGGGCGTGGTGGCACATGCCTTTAATCTCAGCACTCAGGAGGCAGAGGCAAGCAGATCTCTGCGAGTCCAAGGCCAGCCTGGTCTACATAGTGAGTTCCAGGACAGCTGGGGCTACAGGGAGACCCTGTCTCAAAAAGACCAAAAAAAAAAGGAACTTGGCAAGATGGACCAATTCTCTCTCTCTCTCTCTCTCTCTCTCTCTCTCTCTCTCTCTCTCTAATTCTGAGTGGTTGAGATGGGCTAAGTCTTTGAAAACCCAGGGGCACTGACTACAGCAGAAGGCACAGAAGCACCCAGCCTGTCCTGGTGGGAATAGCAGGAGGGAAAGCCCACCCAGAGGAAGTGTCTATGGTGTGAGGTTGGGATTACAGCAGTCACTGCAGTACCCTGCTTGCCCTCTCCTTGCCTTCCCTGCTTCAGCACACAAGGACCTGTGCCCAGATATCACTGTGGGAATCAGAGGTCTCTCTATCTGCCAGGGCCACAGGCCAGAAGTGCCAGGGAATTAAGAGCCCAGCTCCCAACAGCCCTCACTTAACAACTGGTTGGAGTCAGTACATGACTGAGTTGGATAGTTTAGGTTGTCAATTTGACACACTTGGGAAGAGGGACCCTTGACTAGGGAAATTTCCTCTATTGTACTGGGCTGTGGCCATGTCTGTGAGGCATTTTCTTAATTGTTGAGTGATGCAGAAGGACCCAGCCGGCTGTGGGTGATGCCACCCCCCAGTTACATAAGAAAACAGGCTGAGCACAGACCAGAGGAGCAAACAAGTGAGCAGAGTTCCTCTGAGGTCCACACTTGAGCCTCTGACTCCAGGTTCCTGCCTTGGTTTCCCTCTATGATGGACTGTGATCAAGATGTTTAAGTTGAATAAATCCATTCCTCCCCAAGTTGGTTTTGGCCAGAGTGTTCTATCACAGCAACAGAAAGCTAACTAGGACATTGAATAACACCCAGACCCATCTCACTCTGCACTATGTGTCTTGCACAAACTCCCAGGTCCAAGGCAGTTTTAAGGATCAGACAGTGGGCTCCTGTGTGGACCAGAACATCCTTCTTGACCTTCCAGACCCCCCTGGTGTTTCCTACTGGTGGCCTTTCCCTGACTAATGATGTGCTTTGTCTCAGGGTCTTCATAGGGAATCTAGGAAGAAGCAAAAACAAGTTAGGAGAGGTTCTGCAATGTGGTGCGTGACCAGCCAGTAGGAAACAAGATAGTGGGCCTGGAGGCCAAGATGGGCTGGGAATGGAGAAGAATGGAGAGGCCTAGATGAAGCTCAGAGTAGCCAGTGAATGGAAGGAGAGAGAGAGAGAGAGAGAATATGGGACATTTCCCTGGTCCACATGTCAGCAGTCTACACCATAGGGATGTTATAAGCTCAGTGGGATAGGTGAGCTCAACATGTATGATGCCTTAGCTTCAGTCCCCAGCACATAATACACCACCAACCAAACAACCAAACAACCAACCTGCCTCCTGAAAGTCAGCCCTGGGTCATTAAATTCTTGACTAAGATTTCATAGCTTTGAGATGCTCCCAGAGTGTTCATGGACAACAACCTGCCTGTATCACGCTGGGCTGAGCCATCCTCATCACCTCTTCCTGGCCCGGCTTCTCCTTCCGCCAGTAGAGGGTGCAGACAGGAGTGCCCCACAGCCTCTTGGAGTCACAGCACTGCCTGTGGCCCAAGGATGGCTTACCCAGCAACCAACAGCATCCCCTTCCAGGATGAACATGGGGAAGGAAGCCCAGCACAATCTGCCTGAGAAACATCCATGTATGCGGTTCCTTTGCCCTTGTTTATCTCCCCTCCACCCCCCAAATCAATTTCTGAAGTCAAAATGACTGATAGCTTTCTACCCTGCACAATCATTCTGATGAAACAGCTCGGCAACAGTGGTAACCCTGCCACCTGGGTGCTGGTTCTCATGACTCTGTATATGTGGTGAGGTCTCACAGAACTGAGGCTGGTGAGATGGCTTGTGAGTAAGCGTGCTTGCTATGTAAGCAGAGGAAGGACCTGAGTTCAGATCCCAGAACCTTCATAGGAAGCTGGGCACAGCAGCACACGCTTGTAGCCTCAGCACTGTATGGGGCACAGACACCAGGACCTCTGGGGCTTGCTGGTTGCTGGCCTGGCTCCAGGTTCAATGAGAGACCTGTCTCAAAGGAATAAGGCAGAGTGATAGGACATGCAATGTCCTCCTCTGGCTTCTACACATACATGCATATACCACATACGTCACATACATGCATACACCTCACACACAATACCCATACATTCACACACACCAAAAAATAAAGATTTCACAGAATCTCTCTCTCCCTCTCTCTATCTCTCTCTCTCTCTCACACAAACAAAATTATACACAAACACACACACACACGCACACACACACACACACACACACACACACACACAGATTGAGAGAGAGAGAGAACATGTAAAAACCACTGGAATCTAAACACAGGCTAGCCTAGTTACCAATGTGTTTCACAGTATGGCTGACATACTCTGGTGTGTGAGACATTATACAGAGGTCATGGACAGAAAGGACAGTGAGGGTTCTGTGCTGTTTTTAAAACTTCATATGAGTCAAAAACTATTTCAAACTAAAACCTTTTTAAATACATTTTTTTTTGCTTTAGTTTTTTGAAAGACAAGATCTCATGCAGTCCAGGTTGCCCTGAAACTCATTACACAGCCAAGTAGCCAAGGGTGCCCCTGAACTCCTGATCTTTGCATTTCCCAAGCACTGGGGTTACAGGCATATGCCACCATAGGCTTCAAAATAAATGTTTAGATGGTAAAATAACAATCCTTTCCAAAAAAAAAAAAAAAAGCTCCCAGGAGGTGACATCATGAAGCCCAAGCCTTACCTGAGAACTAGGGATCAGAGCCTTCCACCAGTGGCCGCCCTTCACCAAGTCAACCTCACACAGAGGCAGGGACACTTTCCCAACCACACAATGGCGGGAGAACTTATCGAAATCCACCACAGTGAGGAGCAGGGTCCTCCTCTGAGCCTCCAGGAAGGGGACCTCAAAGGTGTAGCGCTCTTCAAACACTGGCTTCTGGGTCTTACGCTTGACGCCCGTCTGCTTGGAGTTCTTCTGGTCCGGTAAGAGGCAGATCTTGACATAGGGATTGGAGTGGGCCATGTCCTGGCGAGAGCCATCCTGGGAGATGGGGGGTGGCAGGTCCCGGGCCTCAATCACCCTCACCATCAGGTGGTTGTGCAGGAGGTCATACTGTGTGCTGAAGTGCAGCATGCCCAGTTGGTACTTGGATAAGATCTCCTCATCAGTCAGAGAGTCCACATCATCAAGGTTGGAGTCAAGGGAGTAGAGCCGGGGCTCGAACTTCCTGAAGTAGTCATCGGGAGTGTAGGGCCGGCGCAGCACCGATGGCTGGATGGGCTCCTTCTTGGCACTGAGGACACCAAACTCAATGGGCTTGATGTCGATGAGAGGGGAGCTGGGGCGCCGGGAGTCCAGACCTAAACAGCCACGAAGAGAGCAGTGAGCATGACCACCAGCCACTGTGACATCAGCAAGGGTCCCCAGATACCCACATAGGGCATTCTGCCTCAACAGAGTCTTCTGTGCACACTGGAAATACAGACGTCCCTGGCACCTTGAAGAACTTCAGGCCCCCATCATATAACGCCCTCATAGAAAACAATACGGTACTTACAGGTAGGTAACATATGCACTCTCCCATTTACGTAAGCTCATGTGTGTCCAGCCTGCAGCCCACAGGCCACATGCACCCCAGGCTAGCTATGAATATGTTTAGATGACCTCATATCACAACATGAAAAGGCTGGCCATCCCCGTGTCATCTCGAAATAAAGTGCCAAATACAATGTAGATGCTATGTAACTTCTACTGGTTTTCTGTTTTCCTCAGTACAGTGGACTGAGCCTAGGGTTTGATGCCACAGAGCTATAGCCCCAGTTTTCTTTTTACCTTTTATTTTGAGAAAGGGTCTCATCAAGTTGCCTGGACTAGCCTCAAGCTCCTGTAGCCTAGTCTAGCCTTGAATTTGTAATTCCCTCCTGCCTCTGGAGTAGCTGGGATTAGAGACCTGAAATCACCCAGCTTGTCTATCATACTACACTGTTTAGGGGATAAAGAGAGAGAATCTGTGCCTGTTCAGTATGAACACTTCCCGCCCCCAATCTTTTTCTTGGTTCTTTGAGACATGGTCTTGCTTAGTAGCCCAGGCTGGACTGAAATTTACTGTGTAGCCTGGGTTGAACTGGCCTTGAAATCACAATCCTTATACTTCAGTCTCTGAGTGCTGGGATTAGTTGATCCTGAGGGCACAGCCTGTGCATACAGAGATGGCTCCATTCTTATTTATTCTGAGGGGCAGGGCCTCACAACTGTCACCATTATCAGAGTAGGTGCCAGGTACTGCTTGAAATGCCTGGTGTGTCCTAAGTCACTGAAGTTTTACAGTCCCTTGAACTGCTAGATGTTGACGTCGTTCCATCTTGCCTTCTGGAGGCTCCACGGTTGCAAATAGAAAAACCAAGAGGGAAGCCTGGTCCATCCAGTGCAAACTGTGGTGCAGTGCTACCTCACTTTATGAGGATGAACCCAAGAACCAGCGTGACTGGGTCTGAGCCCAACTCAGCTACTTATATGTGAGCCCTGTGATGGGTCTATGACTTAGTTTTCCCTGAAAAACGGAGCCAAAGACAGTAATGAAGGCTTCAAGGAGGCAGTGCCAGGAAGACCTAGGCCCAGGCTGTGGGCATAGGAAGAGTAAGTGGACACTACTGCACTTGATCAGGGAGCACAGCTGTGGCTCGGGGCTCAGGGGCTGTCTCTCCGCTTCCAATAGTCAGCGCAATTTGTGGCTTCAAGCCCACTGAGTTATTCTTTATTCCTCCTTCTAGTCTACCAATGAGCTTAGGACATTCTTATTAACTGACCACACATCTGTTTTACCAGCTCACATGGTAAGACTCTTGCCTGATGCATAGGAGTAAGCTGATGAACGTGTGCTAAAAGAAAATCACCTGTGGGGCCGGCAAGATGGCTGAGTTGGTAAAAGTGCTTGCTGCCAAGTCTGAGGACCAGAGTTTGATTCCTGGGACCTGCATAGTCATGGTTTAATGAGCACTGACTCCAGAAAGTTGTCCTCTGACTTCTATTATACGAGTGCACGTACATACAAACACACATACACACACGCACACACACACACATATACACACAGAGACAAAAATTAAAAAGAAAAAGAATGTCACCTGTGGGCTGGGGAGGTGGCTCAGTGGGTAAAGCACTTGCCACACAAGCATAAGGATTTGAGTTTGAATCCCCAGCATGCATGTAAAAGGCTGAATGTGGCTGTCAGTGCCTTTTGGTGCAGCACTGGGCAGGCAGAGAGAAAAGAATGCTGGGGCCTTACTGGTTAGCCTGTCTAGTCAAATCAGTGAGCTCCAGGTTCAGTGAGAGAGAGACCTTGTCTCAAAAAATAAGATGGGCAGTAATAGAGCCAGACCTCTGGTCTCCACATGCACATGTATGTTCAAGCATTAGTGACATACTTGTGTGCCCATATGTGCATGCACACACACACAACACACACAAAAGAAATACAAAGGAAGCCATAAATGCAAACCACGTAGGCAGCCCAAAATCATCAATCATAGCAGCCTCTACTTTTAAAAGGTGCAAAGAAACTGGTAAAATTCATTTGAGCAACTATTTTGTTTGAACTGCTAGCTGAGCATCCCTAATCCAACACTCTGGAATGCTCCAAAATCTTAAACTTTTTGAGCACAGGCATAATGCTAAAAGGAGAAAATTCCACACCTGACCTCATGTGGTGGGCCACAGTGAAAGCACAGATGTGCTCAAAATATTGTAAGAAATGAGCTGCAGGCTGGATACATAAGGTTGGCTATGGAACATCAATTAACGTCTGGTGGAAACTTAGTTCCACCCTGAAGATATTTTAGGATGTCTGTGCAAAGAACCCCAAATCTGAAATATTTCCGGTCTCAAGCATTCTGAATTAAGGGTACTCAATGTGTGCATGCAATCAATATATGATCATTTCAGCATATCAACAACACAAAAGCATCATAGGGAGATACTTTGAACTCCTTTTCATACCACTTTCAAAGCCCAGTGTGTGGCTTACACTTAAAACCCCTCTCTAGCTATCCTAGCACCACTTAAGTGTTCCACAGCTACATGGGGTTGCCATGTTGGACAGTTCAAGTTTAGAGCAGACCATTTTAAAGATGGAGGGATGCATGAGGTCTACATAATACAAAGACCACTTGTTCTGCCTATTTCAAGTCCTTGAATTTTTTTTCTGCTTTCCTGAATGTAAATGTTGCTGTTGTTCTGAGACAGGGTCTCACGATATAGGCCAGGGTGGCCCAGAACTCACTCTGTACCCAGGTGTACCCTGGCTGGTCTAGAACCTACTCTATACCCCACTGCTGTCATTGAACTTGCAGCAATCCTCTTGCCTCAGACTTGAGTGCTGGGATTCCAGGTGTGAGCCACCAGGCCCAGAGAGCTTTTTCCCCTCTGTTAGAATCTCAGGTACTGACTGAATGAGACAGCAGACATTTTCATCGAGTAACAGAGGTTCCTGGTCTCTGGGTTTCATTCTTTTCTCTGTCATTTGATCAAATACATATGCCACCCAAGAGCAGATGGGGTGGGTGGCAAAAACTGGGCCCATGTATACATTTTTTTTAGGTTTAAAAGTAAGAAAGTTTCTGCCAGGTATGGTGGCACATGCCTGTAACCTCAGCTACTCAAGAGGCTGAGACAGGAAAATGGAAAATACAAGGCCTTCCTGGGCTACAAAGAGAGACCCTATCTCAAAAATGCACAGTATAAGTGCTCAATAAATGTTAGATATTGTTCACTTTATTGATAGCAGTAAGGCATAATGACCAGAGCGTGGTGGCACAGTCCTGCTAGCCCAGCTGTCAGCAGGCTGATGCAGGAGGATCACAAGTTTGAAACCAGCTTGGGCTACACAGTGATCCCTGTCTGAAAAAACTCCAAGAACAAAGAAAGGTTCCATACAATCTTAGACTGTCCATTTCTCTTTATTTCATCAGTGAATGTATGTTGTATGCATATGTGAACAAGTGTGCACGTCCATGTGTGCTCATAAAGAGGCCAGAGGAGAATGTGCCTCCCTGCGGCTGGACTGGTGTAGCAGCCACCTGACTCGGGTCAATGGGGCGTTAATTTCCAGTTGGTCACAGTCCCCACTGTGACTAATACCTGTCCACACAGAGCGTCTGCTGCCATTTGTCAAGGCACAAGGACAATGTTTATGTCTATCTCTCCCTCTGCACTCAACCACTGACAACCCCAGGGACCCCCTGGGGTTAGTAGGTGCTGCTGCATATATGGTAACACTGTTCCCTTTCAGGATCTGAAATGATGTGTGTGACCATGTTACTCAATTCAGTCAATTCAACTGAACCTGCCCATCAACAAAGGCAAAGGCAAGCCAGTTTGAGGTAGAGAGCAGCCCTGTAACTCTAGCTCTAGGAGGCTGAGGCAGGAGGATGCACAAAGGCTTCGCAATGTCTCAATATCTATCTATCTATCTATCTATCTATCTATCTATCTATCTATCTATCTATCATCTATCTATCTATCT